GTTTTTTCTATTATTTACTACAGAAATATTTATACTTTAATTAAAGCAGTAAATTGTATATTTATTATCCCACTTTTGACTTCTAAGATAGTAGCAAAAGGCTATCTCTAATTTTCACGACATAGTATTATCAATATCTATATTAATCGCAATTTAAACCAATTTACCTATTATTTACATTATAATAACACACTTAAAAGGACTTTGGATAAATTGCTTGTCAGTTTTCTGCTAGGCTGGTGATGGATCTTCAATTTACCTGAGCCATGAATCTAAACTTAATTAATCATTTCATGTATCCCTGGGGAAAAAGACACTTTTTCTAATGAAAGGTACTCATGTAATGTTTTTGCAGTCCTAACAACTTGTGATCAAAATTTCATATTACTTCACATTTGACATATTTCATAAATACTCTATGTACGATAGATAATATAATATAGTTGCAAAAGCCAGTGTCTTCACCTTGCTATGTGAAAAATCGATATACATCTAGTTATCATATACGTATTTAGGTAAGTTCGTTCAGATAAGTGTGACGGATGTACCGTCACAGAATTACATGACATAAATCATGAGTAATCATCTTCGTAATATAAGTAGTGAAATCTATTTTTTCTGCTATCACCAACATAAAATATGGTCTATAAATTACATGCACTCTTTTCCATTATTACTGTAACTGTATCATCCGTGTTCATTTGCTTGCTTGACTTTAACGCCAAAACTAATCAACTTGAGTAGTTTAGGCGTGAAAGTGTAAGAAACAATTTTCATATTTATAATATTTAGTTATCATTTGAGGTCTGAATATATTTACGAGGCCGTATTCAGCTCTTGAAATATATCGACATTGTAATCATAAATTACAGAGTCTGGAGACAATGGCAACAAAATATGATTATGTGAACTTGGGCTTTTTTGCCAAACAACCCGAGGTATATCTAATTACAGCATGTCGTGTAAAATAATAAGGTTTGTTTGGAAGTTGTTAATTACAGAGACCTGCCTTTGTTTACGCGTATCATGTTTCCTGTGAGGGATCAAAAGAATTGACAATTAATTTAATTAAATCCTTTCGTTGAAATAAACAAAAATATTTGTTTTTCCAATTACAATTGGATTAAAATGAATTAAACTATTTTAAAAGTAGATTTTTCTTAAAAAATAAAGCATTTTTACATAAACCAATTTATTAAAAATGTCCCCGTTCTCGTAGTCTCTTGTTGGTAAAAGCAATAACCAAAATATATAGTTAGATATTCTCAGCGGTGGCGTGGCATGGTTTCAAGCGATGTACGTACGACGAAAGTAAGGTGAAGAAAGGTGACTAAGGGTGTGACTAAGTTTAAACTGGAATCAAGATTCGACTCAAGGTGTCAACTACTTGGTTGGAGTTTAAACTTTAAACTTGATAAAAATGATTCACATAGTTACTTTTATTCAAGTCTTTATTAACCGTTCCTCTACCGACAAAACATAACAGTTCATTATGCAAATACTAGCGTCAAGATGAAACGATGAATAGAAAGCAATCTAAGTTTAACCTTTGTTGTTGACGTTTTTGCTACTTCTACGATCCAAATGTTAATTACCTATTGTAAGTGAAAAATGAATTATTGAAATTGAAGCAAGTTGCCTAAGGTGTTAGAAGTTGATGTTCTACATTTTAGTTTCCTACTGATTTGGCAAAAAATGCATACGGCATTAAGCCCGCGTCGGGCGATGTTTCTGCAAGCAAATAACTTTTTCTAAGATTACATATTTATTTAAAATATGTAATCTTAGAAAAAGTTCCTACAAATATATGAATATCTTGATCGAACAGAACAGAATAGAATATGCAAATTAAACGCTTCTGGTAAATGTTTTAAAACAAAACACATTAAGACACATGTGCATATTGTTAGACTAATTCTTAGACTTTAATACTCTTTAATGAACTCTTTATTTGTCCACTGTAGTATACCCACTACCCACCTACCATTGTCTTTTCAAAGTCTGTTTGATACAATTTTAAATAGCATTCCAGTGTAATTTAGAAAAAGAGTGGAATATGAGAGACAAATGGGGACCTAGTAGGGCAGCAGCTTAGAGCGATATATTGAAGAAATAAAAATAAAAATATTATACTTACTTTTATAGTAGGGGAAATTAGCACTTGGGTCACCTGATGGTAAGTAACTACCGTCGCCTTTTGACACATGCGGCTCAAGAGTCACAGAATGCGTTGCTGCCTTTTGAGTCTCTCCCCCGGAATATTTCTTTAATAGTCCACTGCTGGACATAGGCCTCTCCTTAGAAAGAAGGATTTGGCCTGCTTTACCACGCTGGCCAGACGGATTGGCATAGGGATTTTTTTAAGTTTTCCTTCTCTTTGTATTGCTATTTTTTGCGTAGTTTGCTCCCTTAGTCGGCTTTTACGACACCCACAGGATGAATGGGAGTGGTGACACTCTGTATTCTTAATCCGTCACCACACGGACTTGTTCCTCTGATAACTGTAAAAATTGCTTAACCCGTTTTTTGTGAGGCCGTGGTATCACTCCGGTCGAGCCGGCCCGAAGCATGGCTCTCTAACGATGTACCAATTGCTTATGTTTTTAGTTTAAATCATTTCTAGAATCTTTTACGAATCATATTAGTAGTAATTAAGAAAATATTTAACTTGAGTATTTTAACAGCATAGGAGTTTCCGCTACAATGTCGGAGAAATTGAACTTTAACCTTAAGCACAGGCTACCCGCAATTAAGGCGTGTTCATTCGACGTGATTTCTTACACCGCATACGCAGACCAAGGAACATGAAATTTAAGCCTTAATAGAGAATGATATCAGGGAAAATCTATTATGTGAAGACTTTATGGTCGTAACTAAGGGCACGGTGCAGTTGTTTTATCTGATTATCATATCTTTTGAACTCTCAGAGTTGGCTCTGATTTTCAAATCGCCTTGAGGTTTAAATCTAGCAATTTATGTTTTACATTTTTAAGTGATGAGCTATGCCAGGCCAGCCCACTGCCACTTCACTTGATTTATCTAATATTATTTAAATACTTATTTTCTTAAGGCAGGAATTTCAAGCACTGATTATTACATTCCTAATTCCTTCCTTCCATTCCTTCTTAATTTTAAAATTTAAAAAAAAAGACACCGCAGTTTCACATAACAAGCGTCATAAATGACGCTTGTTATGTGAAACTGCGGTGTCTTTTTTTTAAATTTTATATGAATCAATTGATGTTATTTCTAGTGTTCAAAGACAATAAACTGGACTGAAAATCATAAAAAAATTGGTTAGTCCTGTCAAATGGCTTATTTGTATTCTGAAACGTAGGACTAAACTGTATTTAATTTGATACAACCAAAAATTTGTCAAGTTACTAAACTTAGTCCAATTGCCGACATTATCAAAGATCAAATTAAAAAAAAAACACCACGATTGATTCTGGTTATCTTTACCTAATGACATGTCTTGCGATTATATCTTTATGGATATAATTATTGTAACACCTTTTTTTTCTTTTTCTTTTTTTTTCCGTGCGGACATCCCCTCGGATACCACCTGTCGGTGGCATGTCGGACTCGAACCGACTAAAACCGCACGCCGTCTCGGGTACTAATAGCCGGGGAACCAGGTATACCCTAGAAAGGAAGTCCCTGGTGCCCCGACATACCTCGGGCCATCTACAGACGAGTAGACGACCCCCCCCGTGTGGGAACCCCATGTTCGTTCTGCTCGCCGCCACCCCGGCCTGCTTCTGCTAGGGTGACAGATGGCCTCACCAGTCATCCCCAGGCCTGCGCTTATGGAGGACGGAGGTCGTTCTGCGACCTCCGGCGCCTTAGTCGCCTGCGGTACCTAGCCCGTTCCCGGGCCTGGCGGGTCGGGAGAGTTCTAAACCTCTCCCGGTCCCGCTCCGCCGTTAAATAATTTATTATAATAAAAATAAATAAATCATTTCCTCAAAAAACATAATATATTTTCAACTACTTATATTTATACCAATGCCAATGGCCACTCGATGGCATCTCAATAGCGTGTCAGTGGTATAACACTGGCTTGGCGTGAACATAAAATAGCAGAATTGAGGCCCTGATCGAGGGCTCGATGCCGATGCGAGTGCCTCCTACCGTGAGGCTAGATCCCTCTGTAACCGCTTTACGTGTCAGGCCACCGTCTCCTTCTGCGAACAAGTTATGCTTAGAACTTAGAACATAAGCGCAGGCCTGGGGGTGACCGGTGAGGCCATATGAAGTTTTTTTTTCCCACAATATTGTCAGTATTTAAGTAGAGTATATATGATTTAAATCAGTTTTTATCATGATTCATTGTAATATGGTATATTTCATGCGTAAAAAATACCAAAATCGCTATAAGTTGATGCCTAGATTTATCAAGGATCAGATCCTAATCTAATACCAATATTACCTACCAACTAGATAGTATAACCATTAAGACAAAAAGATTTTTAGAATCGGTCAGCATCCGGTGACATAGATAAAAACAAAGAATGTGGTGATCAGAGAACCATTTTTTTCAATTTCTTATTTTTAATTGACAAAAAAATTTTGAACTCCTCAAAGTTGTTGTCTATTTAATTGATCATCAAAAAACGAAAAGCATGTGGGAGTGGTAGTGTTATAATTGAACGAAATCGTCACAAATTTACTAATAAAATAAATCTTTAAATACCAATAAATTTTAAAACTCACGAATGTTGTAATTTTGCACCAGTGCATCATATTGCTAATCGGCCGTCTTAAGTTTCGTGTGTATAAAGTCATGTCAACAAACCCTTGGTTTCCTTGGTCCTGAGCCCCTCCACGTAGAAAGTGAAGGCGACCACCGGCGGCAGCGGCGCGAGCGCAGCTTACACACGCGGCCCGCCGTCGGACCTCGACGAACGCCGCTGATCTAATTCAAACTTCGAATTCGTTTCTGTTAAAAACTAACTAACTAAACTTGTGTCAGTGTTGCAAGCTGAAAAATCGGTACAATGAAAATTTACGTATTTCTCGGTAAGTCCTTTTTTTTATAATGACAATATTAATAGTTTTTACAACGAGCTGTACGTATAGTTGCATTGAAGTATATAAAATCTATAGTAAAAAAAGTATTGATTTTAAATTAGACACGGACATTACTGATGTTGATAGTAAAATCTTACACGCCATTTATGTCCTCTTAATTAACATACTAAATAAAGCATGACAATTCTCGTTGACAATAAGACGATTCAGTAAAAAAAATATGCTCCTATTTTCCGCCAATTTGATCACATCAAGCATACATCGTTAATTAACTACAAAACTTACAAGAAAAAAACTTCAAGAGAAATTTGAATTGGTTAAATTACGTCGCGAAATGTCAATGCGGGAAATTTATCAGATTTAGAAATTGTTCGTAACTCATTGTTCGTAACCCAAAATTGCGTGCGGTTAGAAACATTGAACTTCACCGGTATCCATTGTTTGATATGAGGAACTGAGGAGTGATGGGTTAAAACACGCATGTTGTGTGTAAAATTAATTGGCATTGTGTGGTTTTCTTCAAGTAGAAATAAAAACAATGTAACGAAAGATCGCACGCCAACATGCGTTGTAATAGTCGCGTGAATTCCACGTTTAGCATTTTTTCATGTGAAAATCTTTTAGATGACCCAGTTTATGTATTTATTTTAATGATTTTTTTATAATGGTCTTACTATATATTGTAGAAAGAAGGCATACTTCAAAACAAACAAAATTACTTCAAAACATGACGTCATAATTTATTGTATACTTCAATGCTGTTGTATAGTCTATGTATAAATATTACACATGCTGTTGTTTCACTATCTTATATTGATACTTATTTTAATAACTCTCTAGTAATATTCCTAATGAAATTGCATTATTTGATTGTTATTGTAATAACAACATGATGATGGTGTTTGTTACATTTTAACAAAGATATTTATTGCAATTAAAAACTAAGCTTCACATCAACAGCCTAAAACAGTCCACTGCTGGACATAGGCCTCTCCTTAGAAAGGGGTTTTGGCCTACTATACCACGCTGGCCAGACGGGTTGGTATAGGGTTTGATTCAAGTTTTCCTTCACTTTGCAGTGCTGTGGTCCTGCGGAGTTTGCTCCCTTAGTCGGCTCTTACGACACCCACGGGATGAATAGGGGTGGTGACATTTCGTATTCTTAATCCGTCACCACACGGACTAAAACTAAGCTTAAAGTATTTAAAATAACGCCATAAAACTCATTTTTCAAGTAACATAAGTACCAGATTCATTATTTTTCTTTACTGTTTGATGTTTACTATTGATAGCCTCGTGTTTTACTGACAGATTCTTCTTTCCTATAGCTCTAAAATATTTAATGCTCCCTTAAAAAATAGTATGAATCCAAACTAAGATCCAAATGGTCCTAATATTTATAACTAGCTATTGACAGCGGCTTCGCTCGCATGATTATTTTGTGTTTCTTACTTTGAAAAGGACACACTTTTTTTTTCACCCTTTATTTTACCCCCTTAGGGAAATTGAAAAAAATCCTTTCTTAGTAGATTATTTTTTTTTTAATTTACAAGATAAAAAGTATCAGCTGCCGAAACTTCAAGTCGGTAGCCCCAGAGGTTCAGCCTTTGCGTTGATGGGTCAGTCAGTCAGTCAGTGAGATCAAGTCATTTTATATATGGATAGAAATTCTAGTTGAAATCAAGGAGTTAGATACGTTTGGCTTTGTCATTTGCAACATACATTTATTTATTAGCTACTTCAATGAAGACAGACTTGCTCTGAAACCTAATTAGTGTATTAGATTGTGTTGCATTATGCTTCTGCGAAGTACTAAACTTAGTTTGATTAAGATGTTGACGCCCTCAATATTAATATCAAGTATTATATTCACTGATGTTTTTACGATTTGCAGTATTTATTCTAGGAGCAAAATAATAAAGCTATGTAGCCAGTTCTCTTTCAAAATATTTCTTGATTTCCCATTGAGTTCCCGTAACAAGAGTTGGAACAAATTATATTAGACTAAGTATGGGTGTTGAATACGGCTCTACGTAACTTTAAGAAGATGATGTGGCTGACGTCAGTGGTTGTATGTTCGTATAGTTGTTTGCAAGAGTGAAGATATTACTCCAGTTAGTTATTGTCATAGGAAAATTTTTGCGTGATGCTAATGTTTCTTTAAGATTGTGGCACAGAATCGTAGGCCAGAAAGTTATATACTATTAATTTACATTATTAAAATTCTTGTATATTACAAAATTTTCAGATGCCTTTATATAAAATTTAATATACCTTTATAAAATACATATATATTGAATAATGAAAACGAAACCATAAATGAGCTATTGGTGTTCAAGATAAAAAATAACAAATTTTTATGTTTGTTAAATCACCTGGCTATTACCTAGTAACAACGAGATCAAATTCTACTAGATGGCGCTGTGAGCTATATCCCGAATAATATCATTCCTTTTGTAAAAGTACTGCTCTCAAAACTGTAAATACACCAATGCTGTATTTCCTCTCTCTTATACTTTTTACAGTATATCATTATGTTTGTGGTTATAAATATATGCAATACAAATAGAAAATATGTGAAGAGATGGGACCCGTTATTCAGCATTGTGCAACTGAGCGGTTTCCACAAACCACCTCGCAGTAGTTTCTCTTTTTATCTACTCTGTTATTGTATTGTCGATAATGATCGAGTGGTTTAACGGGGTGTACCTTAAGATGTTGAACTTTGTTCATAAATAAGCTATTATAATGAACACAATATGACTTTGCTGTACAGAAACAAGGCAGATAGAATTGAAATGACTGTCACACTTGTATGCTAGCTTCTATAAAAGCCACAGTTTCAAAATGTTTTTTTTGTATAAATAGAGGGTGAAGACTTGTTGAAATATAAAAAACACAAAAAATCGTGGCAAAAGCTGATGTTATCATTTTACCCGCGACAGCGGCGACACAACGGGCACCCGTTATAAAGACCGATGGCATGCAAGATTAAACTAAACTACCCTACGTAATTCTAAAATATTTCGCATGAACAAAGATTACGAATTAATATATTTAAACCTTTGTCAAATTTTACTTATAATCACGGTTTTGTACTTCGTTTATTAAGGTAGAGTAAGGTAGTTCTTTAAAATGAACAAGGTTTGAATTTAATCTAACTTAACACAGAAAACATCATCTGGATTTATTAAAAACGTAGAATCACATCATCAACAGCCTTTACTAGTCCACTGGTGGACATAGGCCTCTCCTTAGGAAGTAGGTTTTGGACAACTATACCACGCTGGCTAGACGGGTTGGTATAGGGTTTGTTTCAAGTTTTCCTTCTCTCTGCAGTGCTGTTTTAATCATTAATTTTACAAATAGTCTTAGTTTTGAATTTATTCTACAAGAGTTCATCACTGGTGAATAGCAGTTATGCTTTATAAACACTAGCTGATTCTAAGACCAGAAATAATAACATTATAAAATAGGTACTTTATAGTTTTACCCTGAATTTTATCTGTTAGAGATGTAAAATTTTCTTCAAATAACATTTGGAACAATCTTGAAACAACCATTAAAAAAATACATTATTGTTATTTTTGCCATCAGTTCAAAAATATTGCGTAGCATACAAACATAAAACTATTTGCGTGAATATGTTTTCAATCGAATTAAGAACCTTCTCTTTATTAACGTCAGTTAGAAGTATCAAAAGACCGTAAATTAAAAATTCTGCAAAATATAGGATCTCTGCAGCTCAATATCAATGTATTTTCTGAGAGCCTCCTGAAGGCCAATTCTCGTAATACAAGTTCGGTCATAATTCAGTTCCGATCAACGATCGATCGAATAGAATCGATCTCACAACTGTCATAAAATATATTTTTGAAATAAGTATTAAACATCCAACGTTGACTGTAATGTTATTATATCATATTGTGACCGAAAATTGAATCGATAATCTGCTGTTCTTAGTAATAATTTACTATTTTACTACGAAAATACCTTTTATGATAATTGCGAGATCGAGAGCTGATCGGAACTGAATTTCGACCGAATTTTTATTAAGGGGATAAGCCTTCTGTTCTCTAATCGGGTGACTCCAATGTGAGTTGTTATTGCAGATAAGTGTCATCTTTCCAAGTTGTTTTTAAAACGTGCGTTAATATAATCCATGTTATGTTTATATTATGGTCTAGTCATTATAGATTATAAATCGGTTAATATTTTCAAATAAACACCTGAAATAACTTCTCACATTATATGTTAATTAATGATAATATTCTTTATAAATTCTTTATAATTTTTATTTAAAAAAACCATTAATGAACGCAAATTCAGTAAACGGAAATTGTTGTAATCTTTACATTATTAGTGAATTTAATGCCGCATTATAGTACTTTGAGAATGCAATGTATTCTTAATTGTTAGTTGTTCTATGGTGACCACCAACTTTTAGAAGACACGTACAATTTTTTACAACAAATGTGTATTTCGCTGTCACAAAAGTCTCGTGGGAAGCAAGCTATTAACGCGGACATAATTTAAAATACAATAATGAATTTTCTCGACAATTGTTTCTTACAATGCATAGACAAATATTTTTGTTTATGGAACAGAAGGTCATCGGTGTTGCCAATGTGAAAAATAAAATAAGTAGGTTAGGAATAAGACACAAACTATTCCGGCGGATGTTTCTCACAGTAAAGTGCTTTTAATACTTTTATAATAACGAAATATTGAAGGTTGGGAAAATTATTTCATATTTAAATAAAAAGGTTGTAGGTATGTATTAACGACGTGTCAATTTTTTGTAAATACATGCATTGCTCTAAGTATGTGCTTTGAGTAAAGTTGTCATTACTTAGCTCTTTTTCGTTATTATAATTTATTAGATATACCAGCATTTTTAAAAACATGTTGAAATTGCTTGTTTTTAGTTTCTTGGCCCTTAAACTTTTATATAAATTAAGAAAATAAATTCTTAGAGTAAAGTTGTT